GAAGGTATAGATGAATGTAATTGTCAGAGAACCTAGTAACACTTGGTAGTTGGTATTGCAACCACTTATCGTCAAAGACGACAATAGAAAAGTTAGGCAGATGCATAGACAAGTTTGAAACTGGAATAACACAACCTCACATTTGTAACGGCCTTTGGTGGCATCCAAAGTGTCATATCATTAGGCCATGGTACTGATACCAGGTGTTTGGATCAGCAACCAGACGACATGTTGGTGGTCGACAGCGTTCTGTCACACAGCGGGGAAAACAGGTTCTCCTGATCGTAGTAAGACGACATTGCTTAATGACTGCCCCACACACTCAGAAATGACCAGCGGAACGCCAATGGCGTTAACGTTTCTACTCAGTGTGAATCTTCTACGCGAAGCTGGCCTCCGATCAAGGAGCCAGCATATCACAGGCAGCCACGTTGGAATTGGGCTTAAGATCACGCCTTTTGGACGGACCAGGGCCTAGATTTTCGAAGCTCTCTTAGCGCTAAGATAGTCGTAAGTTAATGTTAATGTATGGCACTTACGACTATCTTAGCGCTAAGAGAGCTTCGAAAATCTAAGCCCAGGGCCCCGTTCCACAAAGCGATCGTAGCGCTAAGATGATCGTAACCCCCATACTTTAAAGGTCACATGCAACCAAAAAATCAAACATAATTAAAACACAATTATCACTTCTTCATGACATATAATATGCATTGCTGATTATGAAAAAACAAATAAACAAAATTATAAGCGTATAATCGCAAATCAAAAGTGCAATAGTTTGTACTTGGGTTTACCTCCCTCGAAACGAAGCAGCCGGGATACCGAACCCAGTCAGAGCGGGTGGGTGTGCACTCAAGTGGAACGGCTGGTTCATTAGCAGATGCCGTCTTCACGGCTCATTGTGTGTGTATATATAGAGATGTTGGGTTTTGTAAATACATGCTCATTTTTTATGTATAACATTTTGCAATCAACAGACATCATAACATGTCATGTGTTCAAGTATCACACCTGCCTGTCTGTGTAATTACATAATGTGACAGAGACCGAACTCGGGCCATAAATCAATGCGTTTTGTTTATGGTGTATAGACTGATTGGTGTTAAGTTCAAATTGCATGTGGTCAGTGATCGCAGTTGTATATTGAATATTGTCATTAGCAGACAGGCAGGCAGACACACAGGTGTCAATAACACAAGACATTGAGTTTTGTCTGTGACAGCGACATATCTATATCACAGTTAGAAATTGTGTCAACGCTAAATAATGACATTGCTTTTAAGTATCGAACTGAGAAAGTGACTCGGTAAGAAGAACGTGTGGTGAAATAGACAAATGAAATTACATAAACAGTTTATTTACTGTAATAACATATAAAAAGCTCGCGCCTGTGAGATATCAACAAAACGTTATGAAAATAGCTCACACCAAAGCCTTCACCGAGTACTAGTATTCACCAGACAGCCCGCTATCAAGTTGCGCGAACCTATTTCACTCCGCACGTGCTATGAGCGCAGCCAAGCTGTTGAAACCCGTATTCCCCAGAAAAGTCTGGGGAAAATTAGTGAAACGTTTGAACTCCGATTTCGCGCGTTTTTTTTTTCATCGCGTTATTTTTCAACTTTATAAGTTGAATTTGCATTTTTTTACGATTTGTTTCGGTAAGTCCATACCGAAAGGTATCAGAATCTGCAAAGTTGTGTTTTACGTTGCATGTGACCTTTAACATAGACTTACGACTGTCGTAGACCAACCGTTCATGGGTTCCTGAAGACAGGATCTTCACGGATTATGTTTATTATTCATAAGTACAGATGCAATACATAAATACATAACTTAATAAAACTATTATATGTGATTGAAGTAACTGAAAATACAGGAATATATTAATATTTTTGAACAGGTTCAAACCATACTGAACGATTTTGAATGGGCTGAAATCTCAGAGCAGCAACGCATTTCCCCGCATTTTATATACGTTTTAGTTAAACTCTCCTTAGGTTCAAGTTTGAGTGTATTATCTGTTTATATTGTCTACAAAGCCATCCTCTGTGTCGGAGAATTACTCGTACATCACGTACTGATAACAAATGGTAGAGGCCAGCGTGGGTTATCTCCCTTTGATGTGGCATACAGCCCGATGTCCAGCTCACAGATAAGGAGAGCCCAACGAGGCTGTTAAACGGTTGATCTCACCGTATCTTACCAATATGTTGTGTGGGTGTGAAATTTACCATAAAGATGATCTTGGAGTCCTTTGGGAACAGTTATCGCCAGACATATTTCAAACATGGTCAGATATATGTAAAGCTATATATTGACACTTACATGAAAGCTATTCATCGCGTTAAGTCCCCGTGGCGTGTATCTGGCTGTGGTGACACGACTATCGATGGGGTACGTGTACAGGCAGGTATTGGGGTATTCAATACCCCTCATCACAAACTGGCCCATATGACGCGTTTATATGACCTTTTGATATTAAAAATTGTGGTTTGATTAAGAATGTTTTCATTTTTATCTTATTGCCTCCATACTAACGCATTCTTAAAGTACTCATTTATAATATTTCAAATCTAAATATTCACATCGTTTATACATAATTTTCATAGTCGTGGGTGTATTGTTTGAGTGTGTGTGGTGGGGATGGGGTGGGGGTGAGGACGATGGGGTTATAGGTTGTAGGTTATAGTCACAATCGTTTACTCAACACCCGGACACCTAAGATTTCCAAATGTAGCAGTGTAAGGAGTTTGTCATAGAGTTACGTGGGGTAGATCAGTATTGGCTTAATCACTCAGACTTAATCACTCAGTGATGTAGACAAGTGTTTTCTGATTCATATAGCCACGTGATCTGGACAAGCCTTGTCTTAGTCATAAAGATACAAGTTGTGGATGTGTATTGTCAAAGACATATAGACACCTGTAGTTGAGAAGTAATATTCATGCCACGGAGACACGTGCGGTGGATTATTGTTAAAAAATGGCACATATTTCCTCTTCTCATATATACTTCCCATCAAAAGTTTAGACTCATTAGTATAAATTTAGCCACTTACTTCAGGCAACTGTTCTAAACTAAAATTTGCAAAAATATTCCATACTGTTTAAAGGTACTATTTACACATGAACTGATGTATTATAACACAAATTCGTAACGTTAAAAACATTATTGTCATGAGTTCAATAAATGATAAAAATCATCGCAAATTGGCGAATTCTTAACAAAACTTTACACCAAAACACAGCTGTTCACATGCACGATATTTGCACATGCTTTTGAGCAATTTTATGCTTAATCCTCGTGCAATTCATCTGCATAAGGTTTGCAGTTGGTTCCCCCAAGTTAGTGGAGAAATCAATCTTCGTTGTAACCATACAAATATACATAATATATAGTGAGTGTTTTAAGTGAGTCTAAACTTTTGAAGGGGAGTGTATGTATGGGGTTATGACTGGGGGTAGGTCCATATCCCATTTTACTTAAAGGTCAGAGTTTGTCCTTGAAAAGCTGCAGGCCCTAAGGACCCAGAACCTGTGACAACTAACAAACTGAGTTAAAGAGTTTAATTTAACTCTAGTGACTGACTAGTCTTCATTTACAACAAAATATTTTTAAAAATGAGAAATTACCCAATGATATTTTCTGAAATTAATACTCTTAGTTATTGGGGATGAAAAAGCTGTCGGCCATAAGGACCTGCAGAAAACAAAAGCTGTGGGTCCGAGTGGTTTTCAGTCGGCTTCGGGCCTAAGGACCGACGTTAATTTCGAACCCCGATAAACGTCCAACTTATTTTTCGTTTTTCACAAATATGACACTTGGTAAGGAATGCAGTAACCGGATATTATGAGGGTTTACCTGTTACAGTGAGTGAGTGAGTATGCTCACGCACCCACCATACGTTGGTTGTAGATTTCACGACCTGCTACACGTATGGCTTGTCTGTAACAATAAGCTGACCCACTGTGAATGAACTGGCATATCCTTAACAAACAGACCGACTGACTGAACCATTTGGACCCTTCTTGGGCATATATAAACGGAATCTTTACTGTATAGTGGAAACGTACAAGTTTGTGTGGTACGTACAACCTTTCGCCAGGAACTGATTAGGAGGGGACGTATATCACTGTCATAAGCACCACATGCATGTGACATACACTGTGGAGGTGATCCTATTGGCTTTCAGGCCTCAGGGAGCGGTGGGGTAGCCTTGTGGTCAAAACGTTCGCTTGTCACACTGAAGACCCGGGTTCGATTCCCGAAATGGGTATAATGTGTGAAGCCCATTTCCTGTGTCCCCTGCCTTGATATTGCTGGAATATTGCTAAAAGCGGCGTAAAACCATACTCACTGACTTTAGGGTTCAATGAATGTAGCGCCCCTGCTAGTCCATACATGCACACGGGAGTACACGCATTGTATTGAAGTGCATTTCAACAGGCAAGATACGGTAGGACTGTGTGGTGACGCTCAGAACCACCCTAGGCCCTTGACACAAGATATGAAGGTGATCTCAGTGACCCTTAAAATGCCAATAGAGCACCCGTGACCTCAAATGAGTCCAGATTTCGTGTAGGAAGTACAGCATGTCAACATGGAAAGATTGAGGATGGGTGCAGTTCCTGCAACCCAGACAACGGCTGCGGCAGCGACTGTTGAGGTACTGTGGGTGAGAACTTGTTGTCTTCCTGCACTGTTATATATGCCGCCCTCAAAGAAGTCACGTGACACGCTGGTTCCACCTACCTGGTCCCTCCACTTGGATCAGCGTCTAACAAACAACGCTGTCCGTCAAGACCACTGACCAAACAATAAATATATGTCAAATCAGGCCGAGATCTTTAGCGATTGAGTGTAATTGAATGTTAAGACGATTCTTCGCTCTCCCCATTTTACCAAATATGGCACCAGGCGGTCTTGCGCCTGTCTGACACGAGAAGCACGTGCTCTCACCACGCAAGTATGTTCAGCCTCGCAATCCGAGACAGCAAATAGTTCGCACTGCGCAGTGAGCCTAGAGGTTATATTTAGTGGCAGTCGTACTTCTACTAGGAGGGATTGTCGCGAACAGACAAAGTGGACCCATAAATGAGTTTGTGTCTATTTTTACAAGGATACGGCTGATTCCCTATAGTACGGTTGATGTATTATTCCGCCTTACCTGAGCCAGAGCAACGACGATAAGCGAAAGTATTTGGAACACCTTGGAATTATTACATTATTTGAACCATGGTAAGTAAGACCAAATTTATTATATTTTACACCGATTAGGTAAAATCAATCAATGCTTCTGCTCTTTAATGCCAATTTTGGCATCAAAATGGTGTATGAAACCAATAACAGTTTCAATTGTTTAAAGAATTCCGTGACCCGAATTGGTCCACCTTACATTTAGGGTAATGTCAAACACACATTCCACACAAATACGTTTGCGAGTAACGAGCTCCAGCTTCCGTTCCTTTCCAACCTTGTATGTTTATTTTTTTTAACAATTCCTTCACTTGCTGAATCCCGAATCCTTTTCCACACAACTTTCAGAACTTAAAATGGATGGTGTAAATATTTATGTCTTCCAAATTGCCACCTCTATCTATCTGTCAATTAGGCACGGTCTTCTTCAGTGATGTGTTTATAATCTAGCGATACATTCCTCAAGAGAGAGCTTCACCTGGCTTGTTAATTCGGATTTTGACATATTAACGAGGCGTGGTGAGCTCGTTAGAACCTGGGCATGGGTCGGGAGGGGATATCGTTACTATCTACGGGGCCATCATTTCGTCCTCACCCCCTGTGTGCCCACGTATCGGTAGTTAGCACCCCCGGGAGATTGGGCTGCAATACCACGGGGGTCACCATTTCCCATGAAACGTATCCTGACATTTAGTCTCAGAATCTATTTAAAAATATAAATATTACCCAAAAATAATAAAAATCATAAAATCTTAAAGAAGCCCAGAACAATTCTTATTTTCAGGCTATACTTGCCCAATCATTCTAGACTAAATTTGGTCCCTATGTTAACTGTTCTCTAATACATAACTACGTATCTAAACATTACCTAACTCGATATTTGTCAGAGATGTCATGTTTAGACACTATACGTTATGGTACAATTACAGAAAAATAACACGGGCCTGCTTCTCCTTTTACTTCAACTTCTTATGATATTGGTTCGTAACAAAATATTGATATCTCCATTTTAATTGCTATGTTTTAGGCTACATTTCGGTGTATAAATGATCATATATATTCATATATTTGTATTTCATTGCTATCTGTTTCTGGTGATCAACGTCAATCGTAGCTAAGAATATAAACAGTGCTATACCCAGGGATTCGTGCGCTAGTTGGTACGTATGTTTTTGGATGCATTTGTAAAATACTTGTCTATCTTGCTTTGTTCAAGTCTCACTGGGTCACGTCACCTGGTGAGGATTGGATTCCCGATATATAGAGTTTGCGTGTCTAACAGTGTAACGGAGACGAGCTGTTAGAACACACGCGTTATGCATGAAGCAGCACACTCACCGTATTTCCTCTGAAAATATCCCCGTTAAGAAATACATCGGATGAGTTTGGGACATAATGTAAGAATAGTTTCCAATACACACCTGATCTCGAATATCTTCAGCAGGATCGATGACTTTAATTACGCAATGCATGTCATCATGTCCCAAATGCGTAGATCGATGCTCACGATGTCAATCACTGGATTGTTTGGTTGAAAACAACATACTACGGATTTAAACTTTTACTACGATGTTTTGGTGCAAATACACACCATATTAATGAAGAGATCCAGAGGGGGTATTAACAACAGATCGATGTATGTTCAGAACTTAGAGCTTCTGGTTGTGGAAAGTCGGTACAGTTACACACCAGGTAAACTATACCGAAATACATGTAATCAGGAGAGAGAGAGAGAGAGAGAGAGAGAGAGAGAGAGAGAGAGAGAGAGAGAGAGAGAGAGAGAGAGAGAGAGAGAGAGAGAGAGAGAGAGAGAGAGAGAGAGAGAGAGAGAGAGAGAGAGAGAGAGTATACTAGTAGTGCTATACCCGAGCAAACATGACTGATAGTTATTTCACGCGAAATCTAAAAACCCAGTTTACAAGCGCCATGGGAGTGCTACAAGACTTTCTTTACCACGAAGTACGCAGGGCTTCACGATGAACGCATGTTTTATCTAGTAATTCTGATTACATAGCCGATAGGGACCAAAAACGATGGGTTGGTTTAGTGCGTTAATTGTATCGCAACGCATTTTCAAACTTTGAATTTAAACAAATGTTCCAGGGAGGTGGAGTAAGGGTCTGAATGATTCCTATCTCCCCAACGTTTTGTAGACAGTTAAACTGGCCCAATATTGAAGCAAACCTCCTGACGAATGAGTTTAACAGAACTCTGACGTAAAACACCATCTTGTTAAGTCTCCATTTCATATGAAATCCGTTTTTCATGCAACTGAATATAGAATATTTGTTGACTTAAAACATCAGTCTTAACGATACCTTCATGTGTTGCAAAAGACGGATCACGTTAAATAGCTTTTTAGATTAAAGTATACATTTCTATTAGAAAATTATTATATATGCTAGCGTTTAATTTATCAAAATGTACACCTCCTTCATGTTATATGTTATTTCAGTTATATTTCATTTTCATAACTTTGTTAAGTTTCTTACCTTGAATCACACATATCCCCTCAATACCCTGAGACGAACTTGTCCTTTACACTTGTAAACCATAGTGTGTAATATGACCTTCTTTCGATAACATACAGGGTGCTAGTATTTATTTTTTTCAACGGAAGCAGATGTACCAAATGTCAATGTGTAATTAAAAAACACTTATTCACTTAAGCGTAGCTACACGATTCCGTCAGTTCTTCTACATACAAAATTATTAAACATAGGAAATGACTAGTATTAATAGAAATCTGTGGCAAGCTGCGCCGAACATGGTGCAGGTGTCGACTTGGTGTTTATGTTCAAGGAATGGAGATGAGAGTAACACGACAGGAAATGACCCTAAATACAGTTGTGGACAACGTTGTTGACGTCATGTATGTATTGGTGATCGTCACCAACATCCACAATACAAGCATATCCGAGTGGACCAGAATCGGACTGAAAACAATTACCCCACAGTAAACTATTTCCTTAGAATGAGTTCATTTTCCCTTACAATTATCACTTAATGCACCCCCAGCCTTGTGCCAACATATCGCGTGTGAGTGATGTAATAAGTAGGCTGTAATCCCCGACAGGCAATATCATGGGATATTTCACAACTCCGCAAGGCAGGTATGTGAGATACCGTGCGCAAAGCGTATACCTAAGTACCGTTACTCTATACAAGGAGTTCTGGCTAGTTACAAGAGAATCCCACCTATGTCCGCGTGGCAGGCATTAAAACCCAAGCCGCAGCCATGAACACATCAAGAACCGCCATATACATATCTACGGTTCTGTACCAATAACTGTTCCGGAAAACGTATTTTCGGTCTCTGAATGAAGGAGAAAGTAAAACAATGGTTCGAAGGCCGTCACGTAGTCTGGTGCTTGTGTAGGCAAGATGGTTGTCCATAGCTCACAGTTACGCGTTTGTTGTTATTTCCACACCCAAATACCTCCCTTCCATCTGTTGGCATGGCGCCACTTGCATCAGAAGCGACGAGAATTCACGTAGACTGACGTCGACAGCACGGCCGAGGGCATTTCCTTTCACTCCGAACCTCCTCGGCTAATTTCGGAACTGGTGCATCAGATTGGTATTTCGGCACTGTGGGTTATCTCTAAGAGTATGGAGATCTTCCTCTGCATTCCTCCGTAACATGCAGTTGGAAGAATGGTCGCGACGGCAGACAAGACTTAAACATGGCCCACTGCCAATATTAAGATGCCGAACAATCAGATGACGTAATCGTTACTTCGATAGCTCGAAGTTTGCCAACCTTTACTTGTGGAATGTCTTAAAATAGAATATTTATCATGTTTCCCAAGAGGCGAAAGGTGCATCGTATACTTATATCTATTATGATGTATTTAGAGATGTGTTTTGCGATAAATATACAGGTTTACTTAGATTATTGTCGAGATGACAGGATACGGACTTGAATCTTGAAACACATGTCGGTTGCGTTTACGTTAATGAAATAACACATGACAACATCTAATTCTCATAACTGTAAGAGATATAACTTTACTTGGTTTACTTTCTTGGTTTTCTACCAAATTCACCGAAGATGAGTGAGTGAGTTGTGTTTTACGCCGTTTTTAAGCAGTATTCCTGCAATATCACGGCATATGCCACAGAAATGGGCTTCACACATTGTACCCATGTCTTTCTGACAAGCAAACGTTTTTACCACTAGGCTACTCCACCGCCCCCTTACCCGAAGATGTCAGTATAAACAACAACGAATGGCCATATAACATTGTTCCCTTGAGGTGACTCGAACTCGGGCTGTGTTTGTGATGAACCAATACTTACCACTAGGCTGCACACAACCTCGAATTAATATTACTTTTGGAAATAACGAGTGAGTATTTTCTTACGCTGCTTTTAGCAATATTCCAGCAATGTATCACGGTGACACAATTTCTACCCATGTGGTGAATGAACCCGGACCTTCAGCGAGTGCTTTAACCACTTGCCTACCCTACCACCCTTTACAAATGAACTCTCCGGGTATTCCGGGTATGCATGTCGCGCACATGTGGATCGAATGAACACTATATTGGCCTATTGCGTTTCTGGTGTTCCCCGCCGTGATATTGCTGGAATATTGCTAAAAGCGGCGTAAAACTAAACTCAGTCAGTCAGTCAGTCAACGCAACACCATGGCTTTGGTCACTACTCTTTATTTCAATATCTCTGGTCTGCCTCGTCCACTCCGGAATATTTACAGACTGAGCCCATACATTTGTAGTCAGGCTCATAGTCCCTGAACTACATTATTTTCCCCAATGCCTAGCCCTCCCTGCAATGCTACATACCTAAATGAAGCAAGTCTAGATTTTATAATCTCCCAACTCACTCGGGTTTCTTTTCGATTTAAATGGGCTTATTTGTTACTATCACGATTATATATATTCAGGGTCTAAGCGTTAGTCTAATACATTGGAATATCGCTCAGTGCAGCGTTAATCAACATTCAAACATTCACTTAAACCGGGGGCGGTGGGGTAGCCTGATGGTTAAAGCGTTCGCTCGTCACGCCGAAGTCCCGGGTTCGAATCCCCACATGGGTACAATGTGTGAAGCCCATTTCAGGTGTGCCCGCCGTAATGTTGCTGGAATATTGCTAAAAGCGGCGTAAAACCAAACTCACTCACTCACTAAAACCTGTTACTGTGTCCGCCAGCTGTTATATGTTCAGAATGGTGTCGTAAAATGCTACTCACTAACAGACAAGCCCCTTCTCATCTACCGTGCTTGAAATAGAAGGAGAGTATGTGAACTGATCCACTGCTCTGGGAGCGAGCTGATGCTGTGTTACTGACAACGTCTCAACGTCTAAACAAACAACGGTGCTGGTTGCTTACGTACAGTAATCTTATCAAAGGCCATGTTGGCCGATTTCCCAACTCCACGAACATATCATGTTGTGACTTATATCTTGCAGAACAAGTTTGTTAAACTCATAAATATTGTGTATATTTAGCCAAATGACAGCAATGGTAATAAAATATATGCCACAACGTGTTTACAGTAGTACCTATATGTTACTCATTAAGCTCTCAAAATACTTTCTCTTTGTGAGAATCCCCTGTGCATTTTAGTCCCCCATTCAAGAGAGGTATAGATATATATAGGTTTGTAGCAGGGCTAGCGGACCATGGCACCCTATCTGTTACATTTCGGTCACAAAAAACTCTACTTCGTCTTTCAGCAGGGATGGGTTAAATGGCTTCTTCTGTTTCACCTGTCGGTGTTGTCAGACATTGTGGGTTTGTGGGTTAAAGAGCTCGCACTGAGAGATTTTAACTACATTATAGTTTGTCTCACAGTCCCTGAACCGCATTATTTCCCCTTCTACCTAGCCCTTTCTGCAATGCTAACGCCAAAAATGAAGCAAATCAAGATTTCCTCAGGTCTGAATCTCACTGGTATTCCTTTTCAATTAAAAAGGATATATTTGTTTCTATGAAAATTACACAGAGAGAGAGAGAGAGAGAGAGAGAGAGAGAGAGAGAGAGAGAGAGAGAGAGAGAGAGAGAGAGAGAGAGAGAGAGAGAGAGAGAGAGAGAGAGAGAGAGAGAGAGAGAGAGAGAGAGAGAGAGAGAGTAAACGGTAGTCTACATTTTAACTTACAGAGCTGATATTCTAATAAGATTGCAATACCTTTCTCTCACGTCAAGTAAATGTATACTGTTTAACTGTTTGTGCCAATCCATTTGCTTTATATGGTTCACAGACTTGATGCTAATAGACAAGTTTGGATGGGTCCAAAGAAGAAAACCCAACATATTATTAATTGTTTGTGACGACCGGCTTAGTAGAATGTATATAATTAGGTGCATGATTTATCTTGATAACAAAGGAAAGTACAGACCCCGGGATTTATCGCCGCCAAAATAGGGTCTTCTGACTCGAAGTCTAGCTACTCGAAAATGATTACGAATGGTTTGCGCCGGCACTCTCCTCAAACCATGCTTGTACTGCTATGGTTGACGTAACAGTTCGATTCCGCAAATGAAGTACCCGGATGTACCTATCCTGGGCTGAAGTGGTAATCCGAGGTCTACAACTTCGAGGCCGATCTTGTATAGAATTGGTTTGTTGATATCGGTCCCATAAACGACTAATGGTAAACATTGAGGTGGTGTGCAACGGCAGATTGAGACTCTCCAGCTTCCAGACGTCCAATGGCAATGTTTCGATTTACGGGTCCCCGTAACGATATGCTTTCATCTAGCTATAAAATACCAATGACCGTCGGAAAGTAAAACGGCCTTTACATAGGCAATGTCCCTGCTCACGATTCCTCAGAAGTGCACGTGCATATTGACGCTTAACGTAAACGTGCATTATAGTTTGGCATGAAATGCATGTGGACCCAGTTTTTTGTAAATATCTCTTCATCCAATGACCCAATCGATCTCAAACTGTGCAAGCGGATGTTTTGTCAGACAACCTAATCACATTGTAAATCACCGATTTTATGCATTTGTATTAAAGAATCTGTCTATGTAACTGTCAACAAAATAAACAGCAGAACGCAAACTGCTTGCAGAGGGAGGGAGCCAATGACCTGTAACAGCGGCACAATGTATGAAGCCCATTTCTGGTGTCCCCACCGTGAAATTGCTGGAATATTGCGTAAAACTGAACCTAAAATCATTCACTCAGTGATATAAAGACGGCCCGTTGATGTACACAAGTCTGTGTTTCAGGCGATGAGCGGTGTTGCGGTGAACGAGGAGTGTGTGACGGTGTTCGAGAACCTGAAGATGGGCCGTCAGTTCCTCTACATAATCTACAGGGTCACCGACGACCTCCGAACGATCAAGGTGGAAGAAATCGGTTCCCACTGTGAGTACAGGCCCGCTACCAACACACTAGAACAGCCACAGGGCTGTGTAGTCACACTGAAGGATGCGGGAGTTAGTTTGTGTGTAGACCCTAACGCTTAGTCTCTGAATAAAGATAATTTTGATAGTAACAAACAAACCCATTTAAACTGAAAAGGAGCCTCAGGGCTTTAGCACTACAGGGAGGGCTAGGCAGTAGGGGAAATGATGTGGTTCAGGGACTGTGAGACAGACTAGTAGACAATCTGTACAAACTCACTATAGAACAAGGGGCTATATAGTTACACTGTAAGTGCGGGGTTCACTGCGAGAGTAGGCAATCTCTACCCACACACCAAAACGGGTCTATAAAATCATGCTGTAGAGTACAACAGTGTTGATGTATTAGAAGTTTAAGTTATAGAACATACTCGTGGACACGATTCCACGTTAAAGATTGTAGTAGTCTGTCTCACAGTCCCCGAACCACATTATTTTCCTTATTGCCTAGCCCTCCCTGCAATGCTAAAGCCTCCGTGGTGTAGTGGTTAGAAAGTCCGCCCGGAGAACGGAAGGTCGTGGGTTCGATCCCCGACCGCGTCATACCAAAAGACGTTAAAATATGGTACTTGTTCATCCCTGCCTGGCGCTCAGCATTAATGGGTACAACAAGGACTGGTCGGCTCGGAGTCAGTATAATGTGTCTGAGTTGGGTATTCATGCTTCACTGCGGCATGGTATCTCAGTGGGCTAGCACTATAAAACCAGCTTAAGTCTGGGCTAGTACAAGCAGCCGCACATACACACACACGCATGCACGTCGTCATATGAGCGAAATATTCTCAAGCATGACGTTAAACCCAAGTTCACCTCACCTCACCTAAATGAGGCAAGCCTAAATTTCCTAAGGTTCTGAATTTCCCATCTCACTGGGACTCCTTTTCAATTGAAATGGGTATATTTCAAGCTACTATGAAATTGTATATATTCAGAGATTTGCGTTAGTCTAAGAGTGTAGATGTGTGTCTCTCGGTTCAAATACATTCATTCATATAGGCTGTCTGACAACAAAGATCACTCACGCAACGAAACGCAACGCAATGTAGATGGAAAACTCTTCATTGCAACGTGTGAAGCATTGGTTACTCTCCATGTTCTTGTCAGTGAACGAACCTATAAGACGAACAGTCAAATCTACATAGAGTTTATATAGGGAAGCTATCGTTTGTTTAATGTTGTCATCGTCCAAACCATTGGTTCTGTGAGTGACTGTGAGTGACCCCACCCTGAGGACTTTCATCCATAATCATAGTGTCAACGTTTTGTCTGTTTGGTCCGGAATCGAATATACTATTCACACTTTGCTAAGGATCAAATCATTGATTCAACAGAAAACTGTGATGAGGGGTCTAATTTGATTTAAATATCTAAGGTTATTGTAAACATGGATCTAGGTTTCAGTATGTCACTGCATCTTGTGAATCCCATACCTGCTATTGACAGGTGTTGTGAACTTGTCAATGACTCGTTCCATGATTTGCAAAATGGTTGATTGGTGCCATGAAAACCATTTTTATGGTTACTCATGCACCAAGTGCATAAGGTTAGATTAAAGTGGCTGTTTGCCTAAAGAGGGGTTACCATAATATTATTTATCCAGATTTAAATGGATACAATTTCAAATTATAAATCTATGTTTAAGTAAAGTTGGGATTTTTTGTGATCTTTAGCAAAGTGTGAGTCGTAAATTTAAAGGTTGTGGTTACTTCTGAAGTATCTATAAATCTAAACAGTTAATGGAGATCGGGGTTAGAACTGGTCTTCGGGAACCCTCGACTTAAGGGATCGGGTGGTCGGATTTGGTTGACACATGACATCGTATCCCAATAGATGGATGCTCATGGTGTCAGTCACTGGATTGTCTGGTCCAGACCGCCATCATATAGCTGGAATATTGCCGAGTGCGACGTTAAACAACAAACAAACAAACACAATTTTATTAATATATGGTCATCTGTGACGTGTGTGAAAAACAATAGCTGTTAACAACAAAGGTAGTGTAAACCTACGTATATCTTCATAGGAATATAGTATCTGTTCACAGCAAATGTTTTGTCCATCTATATGTAAGTCTTGCTGTTTTCCAGACCAAACATACGAAGACTTTGTACAGAGACTGAAAGATGCTGAGTCCAAGAGGCAATGCCGGTATGCAGTGTTCGATGTCAAGTTCTACCAGAACGCCATGCCACAACAGAGGCTGGCATTCTTCCTCTGGTGAGTCCTGTTCATTACTTTCGTAAGGGGGCGGTGGGGTAGCCTAGTGGTTAAAGCGTTGGCTCGCCATGCCGAAGACCCGGGTTCGAATCCCCACATGGGCACAATGTGTGAAGCCCATTTCTGGTGTCCCCCGCCGTGATGTTGCTGGAATATTGCTAAAAGCGGCGTAAAACCAAACTCAGTCAGTCAGTCCTTTCGTAAGAGGCGACTATTGGGATCGGGTGGTCAGGCTCGTTGACTTGGTTGACACATGTCATCGTATCCCAGTTGCATAGATCCATGCTCATGCTGTTGATCACTGGATTGTCTGGTCCAGACATGCTTATCTACAGACCGCCGCCATATAGCTGGAATATTGCTGAGAGCGGCGTAAACAACAACCAAGCAACCAACCTTTGCCAAAGACACACATCACACTTGTCGGTAGCTGTCGAGATATAGGGGGTACTATATCAAAGAGAATAGTTGAAGGTCCAGTCAGCAATATTTCAGTCTTTTTGAGGCAGTCTGCATTTAATGGGAGTATGGACTAGACGAAACAACGGTTAGAAAATACCCATATCGTTGTCTGACGAGGCTGATCCTCGGTCCAATTTGTCGCATATTACGACGAGTGTGTGTGTCTGTCTTTGAGAAGTTTGTTAACGCTTATATACTGAACAGCAAAAGAAACGCAAGTTTCGAAAAAATGAAGTCTCATGAAGGTAAGCGTTTATGTTTATGGAACGTTCATGGTAAAGTGACGTAATGATCCCAGATGAGATGATGTCATGCAATTTGACGTCCATACGAAACATTCGCAGAAACACACCAATAGTGCAGCAAAATCATAATTTTAGCACGTGCATAGACGGTTATGGATGAAAAGCATGCATCTCACTCTGAGGTATCCTTTATAAAGGTTTGTGTCAAAAAACAGTTCAGTATTGACTCTAGGAGGTGTTCACGCCACACAAACGATAGAATAAATGATTAGACATAATTTGGGTTGTCTTCAATTAAAAAACTTGACAAAAAGCCAGACTTGCGTTTCTTTTGCTGTTCAGTATACTTCCCTACTTTGTTTTAAGAGTATGTGTAATTTGGATAACCGCTGTCTGTTTCTTGTTGTTTCCAATATCATCAATTAGGTATTCATATTCGGGTCCCTATTCCAGTTATATAACCGTGTTTGTGTTGGCCTGCAGGAGTCCGGACACGGCCACCACCCAACAGAAGATGTTGTATTCCTCCAGTAAAATGACATTGTTGAAGAAGTTGGAGGGCATCCCAGTTGTACTCCAATGCAACGACGAAGACGACCTTTCTATGTGCAACGTTCTAGACAGATGCATCAGCAAGTATAAATGATCAAAACCATCTCATCGTATTTCTAAAGTGGCGCTGACCAAGAGTTGGACGCGTTGCCATGGTAGCTCGCACGTGACACAACACAATATTACACTGTCATTGTCACAATCTTAAGTGACGTGTGCACCATGGAGTGTTTCGGATTTCGATGATTCCCAGGTGTATCGGAACCGGTAGTGACGTCAGCAACATTCAGACATCTAGGAATATACATGTACCCAATAGCCCGCGCACAACTGTAGTGGATACGACATTCCAATTACGTCAGCTTCTTAGTCAGCTTACAATGTGTATGCAAGGATTGCTTTCCTGGAGCCAACAGGCCATTCTCAAAGATGGCACACATAGACACCAATGGAGCGAGTACAGAGCTAGAACAGAGCTTAAACAGAGCACATACGTCAAACGCTGATCCAGCTTCTACTTGGAAAAGGATGGGTGAATTTTGTGAAGCCGAGAGATGGATCTAATTATCCGCGATGCAAATTACGAAGTGTGTTTGATAAACCTGTTCTTTGTGTTGAAAATCACCATATGGATTTGTCGTAGTGTTGTCATGCGTTACAATTAGAATGCCCTGTCACCTATAAAACTGTGAATTGTATGAATAATGAGCATGCGTCAAAATGAGGGTTGGGGTACGTATCCTCTGGGACACTCCGGGTTCCGTTTATATAAAAAGAACAAGTCATGGAAGGAACTTGAACTAAACTAGTGCATGGTGCCAATTCAATACACGCCAGCTGAACGGTCGCGAGTTCGCAGGAATACAGGTGTGAACCAGAACAGATTCTTACCAGGGGTCTTCGCCACCGTCACCTGCACCTGCGTAAAAGACCTTGGACTGAAACACGTTTGGCACCAGTAGGCCACGACGTTGCATCATGGGCAATACTCGTACATGGATACTAAGGCGTAAATAGAAGAGCTTGCATATTGCTTAAATGACTGTGTATGGCAAGGTTCCACAAACCGGTCTTCGGAGAGCAACGCTTGTCCAAGATGGGCCTTATGACGACTGAATTTAGGGGCTGACCAAGCATAAAAAATCTCAAACCACCCAAACCCTCTCCCCACACAACCCCACGCCACCCAATGAATACTGAATACTTATAGTCACACCCTTTATTTAGAAATGCCTGATAGTTACCGGGGATCGTCAGGCAACATTGGCTATTTATCTAGGTAGATGTGTGTATCCTTAGCTGCATACGACGTATAACTGGCTGTCCGTTTCTGTGGCCAGAACGGGCAAGTGGTATTTCCAAAGTCGCCTGCCAGGAAGTTGTCTGCACCGAATCGTACTGGTGTTGTGGAACGAAGATATGTTACACTTTGTCAATGGTGGTATCTGTGTAAATGTTGGAGTGCTCTCCCATAATCATATGTTGTGTAAATTATATATACAGGTAAAGATGTTGTGAGCTTAGACACATGCTGTTGTATATCTGGAACTACTCCACTCAAAAGCTTCGATTCTGAGCATTAGAACTACACACGGCGTCTTTTCAAGATGTCATATGATATACTAAATAACATTTAAATATTCGAGGACAAGACGTCACTGACAACATATTTAGTTGTCATGGTAGCATCATTTTAAGTCGTGAAAGGATATCGTGAATTTGCACATGGTCACAGAGCATCAGCTATTTATCACTGCGGTCTCCCAAAATCAGGCGTTTTGATACCGTGTGAACGTCCCCGTAGGAGATCACGTCAGGTGAATTCAGCTTTTCGTTCTTCATCTCGATTCTGAAATTCTAAATTGTAGAAAAACCTCACAACACATAATTATTCTTTTGATGGCATTCCCTTCCCGGCGTAGATGTCATGGCGTCCATCAACGACACGGTGTATAAACTATTTACAACAATACGATGGTAATGCCTTATTTATCAACATTCGGAACTTGTCGTTTTAGTTGATGGTGGATACAAGATTGGTTACACTGGTTTGGTCAGTCGTAGCGTGAGTATAGAAATCTCGACCCTGATTGGGTGATTGTTCATGTGCATGACGGATGTTAATGGGATTTACTGTCTGATCCCTTGCAAGGTGAACACACACAGGTATAAGGCCTTCCGTTAATCTAGAATGAACAGTTGTATGTTTCTCAAAATGCATACTTACATGATGACTGTCTTTTCTCGCTTCCATGAAAAGGCTTCAAAAGAAACGAATTGATACAATTATACACATATCTTAACTAACTGATACATAAATAAATAGATGCAGTGTATTCCGACTCGCGGATTCATATATGATAGGGCGTTGGATGTTGTTTTGTAATTGGTTTGTCTTATACTATATCAAAATCAGTATCTTGAATTGTTTTACAATTCTTCCGCAACTTTTGACAATTCCTTTGGTATTATACGGTTATGAGTTTAAAAGTCTGTAATGCTTACATTGACACGGCCAATGGCGGGCATTAGTTCAACACTTTAGACACTAATAATGTATTCGGAGAAAACGTCAAAACCCATTGGGTGCAGTGTCAATGTAGAGAGGCAAGCCTAATGTCCAGAAACGCCTGGAGTGAGGAAAAAAATATATATCATATCCATCTGCACAGCATTATCACAAATAGTTCATGTGCATAGATCGATGAATATTATTTAGTTGTTTACTGTGTCCGCTCTATGTAACGTGTGTCCAGTGTGCTATCATGGACGTTAGTAGCTGCTGTTGTGTCAATTGCAGCTGTAACGAAACAGTCGTCGACTTTGCGAAATGAAGTCACGCTGAAAATCAGATATATCTTTGCCATTTATTAATTAACGAAAATTCTTGACATTTGTTTTCCTTTAGAACAAGTACTATGTTTTGTATATTTTGCCCTGTTCATAATATGGAGATCACTGTCAGTGCAGAGAGTGCTGCAGTCGAACTGGGTCACCGCCGTTTTATGCAATTTTATTTTGATGTTGTATGGGCATTTCTGGATATAGTATTAACATGATTAAAGCGAACTAACGAAGTGCTTAGTGACTGGTGAAAGACGTAACTGCATGTAGAGTCCCTCTATACCCCGTGCCCCTCCCCTTCTGTGTTATGTATATGATAAGATGTGAAGCGTATTGTTTTTTAACATGTGCCAGTTGGATGTTATGCTTCAATTTATAGAACGACATTTTACCAATGTTTGACATATTTTGTACATCATTTTCTTTTGAATACATGCGTCATTATCCTCACAGAGTGACTTTTGTTGTTGTTTTCATTTATGTTCTGTAAATATATACAGTCCGTTTGACTTCATTTGAGACCGGTGAAAAAAGGTTGTTTAACAAACGATAATTATTTTGTCACTTTTAGCTGTTTCTTACGAGGGGGGACCACTTGCTGATAGAACCGCCAGGTGTGCGTGTTATACGTGTGAAATTGAAATTTCACTGCACACGCTTGTTGGTTACCTGGCTGTTCTACCAGCAAGTTGTCATCCCTCGTAAGAAATAGCGAAAAGTGACAACAAAATAATGATCGTTTGTTAAACAACTTTTTTATTCGGGTGTCCAAAATTATGAGACAAATCATCAGAGTTGGTCTGTCGATTTCATGTGACTGTGCAAAGTTTGATTTGCTGCATATATTAGATTTTGTGTTAGTGGGCAATTCATCGGTCTCAAAAGAAGTCAAACGGACTATAGTTTGAAATGGTTCTGCAGTCCCTGCACCATATGATTAACACAAAAGCCCGCAATGACGCTAATCTCGGGCTCATTTAAATATAAATGGAGTTAGTCGGTCCTATCAAAAAAGTGTCTAATTATCCTAACAGAAGGTATTGCTTAAGTACAGTAGACAATGGAAATAACAGACTACACGGGGCTTGAGAAATCTTTCGTTGACATACGTTTTCTTTGGAAACGATCCGCCGTCTTATCTATTCCATTCACAAACAAGACAGATGATTTGACAAAACAAAGCGCGTTATTGACATACATTTACTGATACACGCCTCTACAAACGAAAACTACAAGGCCGAATATGAACATATTGATGGAAGATATCTCACAATCGAAAGCACGAGCATTCCTTGTTGACAAGATTTGCCTCACAGTAGAGGCAAGATCAGTTTAATGGTATTCATTTGCTTCAAAACTACTGAATTAAAATTACAATAGGTCACTTTTGTTTTACCAAGTACTGCAAGCTCTGCAAATTAGTGTAGAAAGGCCTATTGATTGATGCGGCTGTAAAATACTTGTCGGTTCAGCAAAGGGAAATGTTTAGTGTTGATTATATCATGGACAAATGAACACGGTAAGAGGACATGGCATGTCCGCGGAATGTTTCTGGTGAGTGTTTCGAGTGAGTGAACTGTTCAGTGGGAAACAGTCTATGTGAAGCTGGTGTATGACTACACAACACGAGGTTAACGCTGATGCTGACAGTGGCTGAATGAGTGACGTGTTGTCAAGACAGGAGACACCTACAACTTGTTCCTCACAATGTAACTATAGGGGGAATCCAACCCGAGTCTGCAACGTGACATGGAACCATTTGAACGGCTGGCTTTCCCACCCCAAAGACAGCGCGTCCTATGTATAATTTGTATTTGGTACCGGAGGCTTGACACCGAGAAAGGATATACTGAGTAATAATTACTAATATATGAACTATATCTATAAAAATACAATCCGACAGAAATGGAAACATTTATCTTACTCTACTCAAATATTACTGACACAAGATTGACAGTTATGTGTTGGAGGTTATGAGAGTGAAACCCGACAGTTATAAGCTGGAGGTTAGGAGTAAGAAGACATTTTGAACTTTTAAACGGCAAATTACATAACAAACAACAAAGACCCCCATATAACAAACAACAAAGACTCCCCAATAAATAAAAAAAATAAAAATACCCCCTACCCCACCCCAAAGCAAGACAAAGAACACAACAACCCCAAAACAACGAAATAACAAAGAACAAACAAACAAAACAACAGAACAATTACAAAAAGAACAACCCACGACCCCCTTCCCAGCCAACCCCAACCCCAAAAAAACCTCCAAATACCCCAAACCGAAAAACACCCTCCTCCAAAAACAAACCCAACAAAAACACTTAAAAAACTAACAAAAACAAACAAACAGCAACAAAACAAAACAAACAAACAACACACAACACACAACAACACACCACACACACACACACACACACACACACACACACACACACACACACACCCCAAACGAACAAACAACATCCCAACAACAACAAACAAAACAAAACAAAATATACCCAAACAAAAAACAATCGTGATTCAAGGTGATAAGCATTTAGTAATATCAGCGATTTGAAACTTATCAGTGGTCACCTTACTTTGCTTACTTTCTTAATAATCAAATGAATGAGAAAGCACGGCACTGATGGTCATGTTTCACTGAACTTGATGTTCAAAGCAAAATATCATCAATCTTTCAGATCGTTGCAGATGGATGCTTTAAATGTTCAAATCTACATATGACTGTTATATTCATGACATCTATTCAACATTACTTTTTGTATGTATTGATGAAAACAAAAACTCTCTTCATTGTATTTTTAGTGGCTATCAAAGTTGTACTCTAATGAGAATAACGTCCCTTAGTCGTCCAATCAGCGCGGGGAACGTGACGTCACAAGCGATTCTTGCATCAAAACATCTGACTCTGAGTTGGCTGCCGGAACAGGATTGAGACCATTTGTTTCTGTTGTCATTAAGTTAAATTAAGTTACAACAATGCCTACACCCCAAGAACCAACGGGGAGGACTTTTAAACAACGGAAAAGCTTCGGTAAGTTCAATTATTATCAGGGTCACTCAGCACCTGTTTACAACTTCAGTCCCCACTGTCAAGGCTGTTGACAGCTCAATGCCACGAAAGATGTAAGATCTTTCACCAGGTTCAGTCTTTTGTAATCTCTAATAACCTCGATTGAAACAAAATAATAGTACAGATTATTATAAATAGTATATATTTACTTTCTGTATTGTTTATACTGCTGAGAAAAACTTTGTCACGAACGGAGTTAATCGAAAATACTTTGTAAAGTAAATCACATGATCTAGACATATTACCCATAATCTTTCTACATAAGAATGATATGAACACAAAGATGCAAAATCAAAGGTTTTACACACTTCCAGTGTTGATCAAACTTGGGTAAGTCAAACACAGCAGTATAAATTATGTGTCTGTATATTTTGTGTCATATCTACGTTCCCTAGATTACTTTTATCACTTATTCTATTTTTGACTGCCGTTCATAACCCCGTGAGCCTGGTGAGCTGACATTAATTTTGTGACATTCATAGTCTCCATGTCTGGCTCCATGGATATGGGTTGAAGTTATGGTCTAGACACTAAGGAGTACACAGCAGGAAGTGGAAACACTAATGCTTTAATGTCTTCTTGATTAGTATACAAGACACATGTTATTGTAACATTAAACTAAATCTTACATTAGATATTTTTAAGGAATTTTTTTATTAACTAATGCTGAATTAGACGTTACATGTGTTACAGATGCTACTGTTTGGCTAAAAAACCCTAAAGAATTCGAAGAAAAATCTACATTAATGATATAATAAGAGTAATATGACCATGAGTGACTTGTCCTACTTTCTCTTAGATTAGCAATATCAGTTGTCGTGCTGTGCATACTTATTCTTCTGTACAATTAGTCTTGAGTTGTTAGATTTCCGATTATATTGATGTATGTGCTGTTGTGTGAGACCATAGTGGCCCAAGTCATGCATGTAGTTATAACAGTTATGTGATAATGAACTTGGCAGTGACCCAGCATCAGAGCACCTTCCTGGGTGTCCATAGGAGGCTGTGGACAGAGAAGGATTGATAGTGTGACTGACAGTCAGCTTGTCAATATCTGCTAACCTGATCAAAGTTCCACAAATAAGACCAGATATAACGTGACATGATGTGGATACTATAGACAGTTCACTATTAATAGGTCATGAAATGAGAATCAGGTTGTCTCTGATGTTTCACGCTGATAATATTGATATTGATATTAAGGTATTTTAATGATTTACATAGACTCACAATGAACCAATGATGCAGGAAGTGGAAAGTCTTGATCTAGAAACCATGCTTATAGATTGTCCCGTTTTCATGCATTTGTTTTCAAAAGATCATGCAATGAAGTGTTTTGAGGCATGAGTTTTCTTGTTACAAGGTATTGATTGGTTTTGCCCAGCTATTTGTTTGTGTAGCAGTAAGGAGAGAACTGATTTCAGGTTCATAGTAGTATATTCACTGATTGAATACAGGCAACACACATGCATTAAGTCACCTGCAGGCCTAAATACATTAAGAAGGTGGTACATCTTGCTTATTGTTAATTACACAGCAACGACATTAGAATCTATGTCGAAACATCGCCTGTACAGAATAAAGAAGTTGTTTATCCATAAAAATAGTCCTCATTCTTCATCTACCCAACTTCTAGAACGCCAATCAAAGAAGTAATAAAAACTAAATGAAATTTTTACTGCATTGTGCTAGATTTTTGTGTTTTTTGTGTGTATATTTCCAGCTTTTGGGGATTCTTAATGTTTAAAAAACAAAAAGCCGTTCCTTTGCTTCTGGTAAAATGTTTGCTTGCCTGAGAACGATTGAACAAATATATTAAAAATGCCAATGTGCTAATACATTTTGAGGTGAAAGGTTGCTTGATGTGAAAAGAACAAATCATTGCTGTTGAATATACTGTCAGCTTTTTTGCATTTTAACAGAAACATTTGGTGTTCTACTCAATGACCAATGACTAGGTAGTGGCACTGGCAAGAACATTATTCAAAATTGATGTATTAAATGGTGAAATTTGATTCCTAGCCTGAGTGGCCAAACTCATTATGTTTCCCATTATGACTGCCTGGTACTAGTGGTAGTGAATGCGAGTGAATGAATATCAACACCAATCTCTCTGTGGACAACCAGCTGGTGGGTTGTGATAATGACTGTGAACCACATGGTGCACTTCATCATCATCACAGCCACAAACACCATGAACATTTTGCTTAGAATGGTGAGTCAAGCCAGGTGTGACACACAAATAAACTCAGGTTCCTAGGAAAAGTATGTTGTTCATGGTCAGTGCCCTAGTGTATGTCACAAAACATGATCTATACTTGAGCTGTGTCTGTTTGCTTGCTTGTTTGTTTGGTTTGTTTGTTTAACGCCGCACTCAGCAATATTCCAGCTATATCAGTATATGGCGGTGGTTTGTAAATAATCGGGTCTGGACCAGATAATCCAGTGATTGACATCATGAACATCGATCTATGCAATTCGGATATGACATATCAACCAAGTCAGCGAACCTGACCACCGGATCCCGTTGGTCGCCTTTTACAACAAGCATGGTTTGCTGAAGACCAATTCTAATGCTTGTACTATTCCACACTGATTCTGGTGTTATAGATCTAGTTACCAGCCATTGCCATCTTTGTTAAACTAACATCTAGTCTCTGAAATGAACACATTTTACAGAAAAAAGGGTTCATAATTAGTAATCATAAAATGTAATGAAAAGGAGCCGATAAACTTTTTTTATTTTCATGAAACTGTGGCAATCTAGACTTGCATGGGCTTTCTTGGATATATTTGTTTCAGTGACAGAAAAACAGTTCATTAATGACAATCATGAAATATAATGAAAAGGAGCCCATAGACTTTCTTAATTTTCCTGAAATTGTGGTAATCAGGATCCGGTTGTATCATTGCTTCATTAACTAATGTCAACATTAAGCCCTAATGATACATTAAATCCTTAATGCATCATTAGTTAATGGCATCATTAAAAACGGTTGTATCAAACACTTATTAGCGTATCATTATCTAATGACCTCCTAATGTAAATATTTTCATTAAATCCGGGGATTCCCCTAATTTTTTCCCACAATTCCGCGCTGTAAACATGTAATTGTTACTCTAGGTTGTCTGTCAAAATGGCATCTTTAGGGCTAAACCCCTCGGAACAAAAACAAACATTTCGACTGCTGTGAAGAAACACGTCTAAATAATTCTGAAACGTCGCCGATAAACCTAGAATCGGTTGGGATGTTTTGGAAAATACACGAACACGAATGCCGAAGTGAGCTTTCCGCCATATTGGATAGTGTTTACAAATTCAAGTTTAAGCTAAAGGCCAGTCATAGGACGCCTATTACATCATGTATATTTCATATTCAGTTGTGACAAATGCATCGCTGAGTTCCTCATACATTTTAGAATCAAATTCCAAATGGTCTTTGTCACTAAAACCAAGTGTCTAAGATAAAACGAAACATATTGGGTGTGAAAACGGGACGTTGTGCTCATTACACAGCTCTTGCTAGAAATATAAACAACCTCAAATATCAGATTTTATACTGTGCAGCATTTTCTCAATTTTTTAGACTTCAGTTCGTCTTTTTGTAGCATGCATGAGCTCAATATTTTTAGAATATGCACGGAAAGAGTATCGTAGTAGCAAGAACTAGAAAACTTAAAAAGTTCTGTGCAGATACAATACTGAAAATTTATATATTCATACAAAATCCTGCATTCTGTGCAGTCATGACACCATGCGAGACGCCTTTTCAAAAATCATGGAGAATGACATAGGCAATTATCGAGCATTTGAATGACTTTTCAATGAAAACAATAAAAATTTATAAACAATCACCGCATGCAGATAGTCAGAATGTTTCCGATTTTCTGACTTTTTCATCATACATTTATGGACAAAGGTTCCCTCGAAAATCATGGGCACCCAAATATCCACAAAGCCGTCATTTCATGAGAAATCGGTCATCGGTAGTGATGTCATACATCAACATTGTTTGACATATGTGACAATTTCTTTGAGGTGAAGGTCAGTTGAATAAGATTAAACACAATCACACTGTCCTGCGGATTACACTTGTATTATTAATGTATACTTTCATATGATCGTTCACATATGGTTTCATGAAACTAATTTCATTATCAACATTTAGTATTTTAAACCTAAGTAAAACTGACATAATAAATAAAAATGATTTATTTATATCATGAAGTGTATATATGCACACGTTTTTAAAGGATATGTCTTGTTCATTGAATTTGTTAATGTTGTGTTATAGACAAAACAATGGCGTATAATCATTGGCCAGGTGCGCGTTTGTCACAAATGTTTTGAGTATCATTGTTTTCCATAATTCCGAGAACAAAACAGCACGAAAATAGTGTGTACTTATTCACAGCAAATTGTCGCCAAGTGATCTGAGTTACAATGACTTAGTATTAAGCATACCGGAGTGAGGCCCCCTTATCTTTATAAGCGTGTGACCTTTATGTAGCCATTTGACGTCATAGGGGAAAATCCATTTTCAACACATATTGCGAGTCACTTTTAAGATTGAGTGTATAACGTTATATACGAAAGCACACAAACTAATTTAACACATACCTATGTCATTCAGGTATCAGGCAGAATTTTGTCCGATTACACTTTCCATAATGATACCAAATTGAAAATATAATAGCAGAGTATTTTTATCAGTGCACGATAAAAAGCAGAGGAATTTACTGTTTTTAACGCATAACAAAATGAGGAGTAACATTCAGCAGTGTCTACCTTTTCAAACTGAGTTTATACCATGAGCTATGACATTTAATTCTCTACATTTCTGTGTAATTTTATAGCTGCAGGTAGATCCAGTGCGGTGCAAACGAAATTCTGGCGCAATGTTCACTTTTCCAGGAAGTTTAATGACGCTCTAATGATACCCCAGGACCTTCATTAAGTT